CCGCTCGTCCCCTCGATCCTCTCGATCACGGAGGCCAGCTCCTTCCTCGCGTCCTCCACATCGCGCCATCTTTTCCGAGACACGTCCTCCCTCGCCGCCGTCGCTCGGTTCCCGCTCGCGTCCGTCATGGCGATTATCAACGATATCCACCCTCTCCCTCCCTCCCTCTCTCTCCCTCTTTCCCAAAAATCTCTCCCTCTCTCTTCCTCTCTCTCTGGAATCGTGACTCGATTGTTTTTATCGATCGTTCGTTCACTTTCGCGGAGTTTACTGCTTTTTTTCTTTTTTTTTAAATTTTCTAAAAATCCCTCTCTCTCTCTCTCTCTCAATCTGGAATTCGCGACTCGATTCTTTTTATTGTTTGTTCACTTTCGCGGAGTTTACTGCTATTTTTTTTTTTAAATTTTCCAAAAATCCCTCTCTCTCTCTCACTCTAGAATCTGACGACTCGATTGTTTTTATCGATCGTTCACTTTCGCAGAATTTACTGTTTTTTTTTTGTTTTTAAAATTTTCCAAATATCCCTCTTCCTCTCTTTCTCTCTCTCTCTCTCTCTGGGATCGCGACTCGATTATTTTTATCTTTCGAAATTTACTGTTGTTTTTTTTTTCTTTTTAAAATTTTCCAAAAATCCCTCTCTCTCTCTCTCTCTCTCTAGGATTCGCGACTCGATTCTTTTTATCGTTCGTTCACTTTCGCGGAGTTTACTGTTATTTTTTTTTTTTTTAAATTTTCCAAAAATCCCTCTCCCTCTTTTTCTCCCTTTTTCTCTCTTTCTCTGAAATCACGACTCGATTGTTTTTATCTTTCGCGGAGTTTACTGTTATTTTTTTTTTTTTAAATTTTCCAAAAATTCCTCTCTTTCTCTCTCTCTCTCTCTCTCTTTCTCTCTTTCTGGAATCACAACTCGATTGTTTTTATCTTTCGAAATTTACTGTTGTTTTTCTTTTCTTTTTAAAATTTTCCAAAAATCCCTCTCCTTCTCTCTCTCTCTCTCTGAGATCGCGACTCGATTGTTTTTATCTTTCGAAATTTACTGTTGCTTTTCTTTTCTTTTTAAAATTTTCCAAAAATCCCTCTCTTTCTCTCTCTCTTTGGAATTTTTTTGACTCGATTGTTTTTATTAATCCTTTGCTCACTTTCGCGGAGTTTACTACTATTTTTTTTTTCTTATTAATTTTCCAAAACTCCCTCTCTCTGTCTCTCTCTCTCTCTGTCTCTCTCTCTCTCTCTAGAATCGCGACTCGATTATTTTTATCGATCGATCGTTCACTTTCGCGGAATTAACTATCGTTTCTTTCTTTTCTTATTAAAATTTTCCAAAAGGGGGAGAGCGGAGAGCGGTCCTGTGCGAAGTCGGAGCGCAACTGTGCTCCGATGGGGTTGCTCCTTTCGCAGCGGGTTCCGCGCACACAAGGGGGGAAAAAAGGACACGGTTGCGCGCCACGGGGGTGTGATGCGAGCGCGGGGGTGTGAAATGAGCAAGAAACCCGTGGGATTGATTGAAAACGGGATCGAAACTGCGTTGGACAAGCACCCAACGCGGAGACAATTTCTGCTACGATGAGAAGAAAAAAAAAAAAGAGAATGAAAGAAAATTTTGTCAATCTTCTCGACCTCTTCTCCACCACAGTTGAAGAAAAATTCGGCATTTCGACGAAAAAATATGATAAGCCGCAAAATGGATATTCCATTTTGCGGAGTGTTGAATCGAATGTAAAAAAGAGAGGGGAGGGGAAAGGAGAGAGGAAGGACACCCTCTCTGTGCGCGCGCGCGTCGGTTCCTTATCACTGGTGGAGCAGGTGGCTCGTGGTCACCGAGCCGTGAGAATTTCCTTGTTAAAATACAATCATCCCAACCAACCCCCTTATCGCCTCCTCCCTCCCTCCCTCCCTCGTGTGTCCAAGCCTCGATCAATTTTTCCAGAAAAATGCATGTAATACTTTCCACTTGCTTTCTAAAAAATATTCTCGATCCTTCGATTCCTTAGTTTAAGGTAAAGAAATAAAAAAAGAAGAAAAATAATTGGCAAGGGAGGAGGAGGAATTGACAATCTGCATTCTTCGATTTAACGCTTCGAATCGAAGTTAGGTCGACTTTCCTCTCCCTCTTCCTCCTCGTTCTAACCGTTTCGAGTTAAATTACGGTTAATTCACTTTAACCGGTGAAAAAAAAAATTGTATCTTTTTTTTCAAAAGTTCGATCCAAAATTATTTAATTCGAATTAAGAAAATTCGATTTTTAAATAAATAAGGAAAGGAAAGGAAAATATATTTTCATATTCTTTTTCCTCGATATATTCCTTTTTATATATATGTATGTGTATATGTATATATGGGATAGTAAAAAAATGTAGCTTCAGCGCAATTAAATTCTTTAATTGTTGTCAGTCGGGTTCGAAATACACTAGTCGATCTTTTTTTTTTTATTAATTATTGTATATACTGTGGTACTCCTCCTTTATAAATAATACGACGTCGATAAAATAATGACAATATGTTTGCTCTTCGTCTTCCCCCTCCGTCTTAACAAATTTTATATTTATATATATATATGTGTGTGTATATATATATTATAATATATATATATATATATTACATGTATATATATATATATATTATATACATATATATATCTACTTCATTTAGTAATTGTTTGTCGTCGATAAATTGCGTAAAACACGTACGAGATAAATAAAAACGGCGATGAAGGTGATACAATGATCGTGAAACGATGAAAATCCCCACCGCGGTTTCTCTCAAGGGAGGGCGTTTGGCGGGGGAGGAGAAGCCTTCGAGGAGGAAGAAAATTATCATTACTCGTCGAAAAATAAAAATATTTCAACGACTTCTTTCCTTCTTTTTCCAATTGAATGAAATGAGAATGAGAAAAAAATTATACGAAATTTTCTTTTTCCTTCTTTTTCACAGAGAAAAAAAGAAAGGAAGGAAGGAATTAAGAGTTTTCAAAGAGTTTTCTCCACCTCCCCCCTCCCCCCTCCCTCACGTCGGACTACATAATCGTTTTACATAATTAATACTAAATGTGGTGTGGTGAAACTCTCTCTAATACATCTAAGAATGCACATCCATGCTTATTTAAATGCATTATCCTTTAATTTAAATACGTATGCAGCACTGTAGTAGTAGCCTAGTCTTTTTTTTACTTTTATTTTATTATTTTCTTTTTTTTTTTTTTATCCTTTTTCTATTATTCCTCTATGCACGTGTCTCTGTGTCACTCACTCTCTCTCTCTCTCTCTCTCTCTCTCTCTTTTTCGTTCTCGCTCGCTCTCGCTCGCTCTTCTCCTCTTTCTCTCCCTCTCTTTCTTCCTATTACGCGTCGCACGTATGTGTACTATACGTGTATATGTATGCGTAAGTGTGTATGTAACGTGTAATACGTGAGATACGTGAAAACTTCTTCCCTCTTTTTTTATCCCCCCTCCCTCTTTTTTCTCTTTCGTCTTTCTTCTTCTTCTTCTTCTTCTTCTCCATCCGTGATTTGAAAAATTCGAAAATTTCCTTCTACTAGTGCGAGTCTCGCCAGTCGATCGTACTCGCGTGGAATTTCCCTCCTCGTTCCTTCTCCCTCTCTCTCTCTCTCTCTCTCTCCGTTCCTTCCTTCCTTTTCGAGGTTCTTGAGGTTGTTGTTGATGGAGTCACTCGAGGTTTTTTTTTTGTTTGTTTTGCGCTATCAGTCTTCTTCCGAGTGATCGGTGACGATGATCGCGGTGAAGGGTGAAATCTGGGATCTTCGCCCGGCGCAGAATCGAAGATCGATCTTTAAAATTTTTTAAAGAAATATACCCAAAGAATTTTATTCTTTGGGAAAAATGGAAGGAAAGAAAAATATATTTGCGTTGAGGAAAAAATTTCGAGATTTTTATCTCGATTCGTTTTTTCCAACAGAACAATAGATTTTTGGAAATTTTTTTTGCCAACAATTTTCTTCTCGATTTAGGGGATAATTTTTTTTTTTTTTTTTTTTAAATCGATCTCCGCGGTCTGCGCCGCGAGAAAGCGGCAAATGCACGAGCAGCCGTTCGTGGAAAGGACAGCTCCTTAGGCCGGCGAGAACCGTGTAAAAAACGATAGTAAAAATCGCTAGTAAAATCGCGACGTGGTCGCGTTTCAAAAATTCCGGACGCTCTTTTTCGTTTTTTTTTTTTTTTTTTTTTTTTTTTTTTTCCTTTTCTTCCACTTTCCTTCCTTCGAAGGCCGAACAACAAGAATCATATCTGGAAACTTGGCTCCTCTCGAAAAAGTATTATATATAGAAATTATATAGAAAAAATAATATAGAATAAATATATAGAAAAGTATTATATAGAAATTTTGGAAAGAAAACACATGGTGAAATTTCTTTAAAAAAAGTAGGGAGGAAAATCAATTTTATCTTTTAAATCAATCGACAAATCGATTCCAAGATATGTACGAAGATAAAATTCGATTCTCGAAAAATTTTTAAATAATCCGAGCGATACTTAAAAATTTGAAACGAATCAAGTTTTTCCTCCTGCAAAAATGCAAATTCTCAAGTTGGTCAGCCTTCCCATCGTGCGACGTTTTCTTCGAACGAATTTTTCTTTTTTTTTCTTTTTTCATTTTTTTCAATTTTTTTTTCTTTTTTTCTTCTTTTTCTGCGAGCGTGTCATCACTCCACAGACTACTTTTACAAAAATCCTTCGTC